TACAGGGCCACTTTGACTCACAGCTCAGCACCAGCTGACACAAATTCACACAGAGCGCCCCCTGGTGTCATCATGGTGTCAGAGTCCTGACATGAATCTACAGCTTCACTGACTGTCGTCTGTTCTGTCTGTTCTGTCTGTCATCACCGACACTCTCTCTTTCTCTTCGGGTGGGGGTGTCGTCACCACCCAAAGTCACACACAGTGGACACGGACCACAGCTTGTCCACCGACACCACACTTTGATTTCACTCCTAAAGACCAGCTGACCGATGTACGTGTCGACGGGTTTGAACACACGATGCTGACGTCACCGAGCGTCTCTTCCACAGTCACTTACTACGGTAAAGGCTGCTAACTGACCTGCCGACAGTCTGATCGATCGCTTGATTGATTGGTTGACTGACACATCAACAGCAGCCGTCCGTCGGTGTCTTACCTTCTACCTGCTCCTGATCATCACATGGTCAGATCTCCACCTTCACGATCTCCATCACTGAGAGCGGGAGTCTCTCACACTCACACACACACTCACACACACACTCCCTGTCACTCAAACACACTCTCTCTCACACACACACACACACACACACACTCCGACCGTCAACCAGAGTTGGTTTCTGTCTCCATGAAGAAAATCTCGTCTTGAAGAAACAGATATTCGGACTTCAGTCCTTCTCCACTGAACGATCCTTCCTGACGGAGAGTCCGGTTCGACCGAGCCGCGGAGATGGGTTTGGATGACTGAGAGGGAGGGGGAGAGAGAGAGAGAGAGAGAGAGAGAGAGAGTGGGAGAGAGAGAGAGAGAGAGAGGGATGTGAAGCAAACGGTTGCTGCTACACCACAGGATGTACCTTCAAAATAAAAGTACAGCGGAAATCTGGAGACGTCTTATTTATCTGGACTCAGATGGTTCAGGGTCGGGGTCAGGGTCGGGGTCAGGGTTCAGACGGTCCGATCACTCTGAAACACCTCCATATTAACCCAATAAATCTACATCCTCTCAGCTACAACTAACTAATACATAATAGGATGT